AATCCCTAACGTTCTGTGATTCTGTGATAGCTACTGACACATCCAGTTGCTGACCACTGCACAGGGAGGACAGCAAAGTTCCAAACAGCTGTGTGCAACTAAAAGGGTTGTTCTGAGCTAATTTTGAGTCTCTCTCAGAGCTGACAATGTTTTATCACCAGCCCAGCTTTCCAAGGTTACTATATTGTACAATCTGGATAGTCATCCATTAAAAATGCTAAAACATACTGAAAAAGGTCATTAATCTTGAAATTGTCAGACAAATTATTTTCAATGAGCCCTGATGGCTCATGTGCTGGAAGACTGGGAGGGCACTTGAATTAAGTTTAATCAATAGGTACATATGGTATTGGATGCATCCAGGTAATTTGTCATCCAGGAACTTGAAATGAATGTGCAGCATTACACTTTATTGAGAGTCACAGTAGTGACACTAATGAATATACAAAACCCAGCAGTAGCATCAAGGGCCATTCAACATTGCAGCATCAGAGATATTTTTAAGTAGGATTTTCAGTAAAAGTGTTTTCCCTTTCAAAAAAACCCCCTGTTTTCTGCAGAACCATGTTGACTCCTAAATCTGAAAACAGGAACCTTTTTTGTACAAGAGACAAAATATTTCATCTGGAGAAGCTGAGATGATGTGTCACCCTGCAGTCCACTCCCTGCTGAGGACTGTGCTCCATGCCTATTTATCAGCCAGGATGCAGCGCAAACACAGAAGCCCAGTGATGCTTTACTGCACTTCAGACGTAGCCATAGCTTTTCCACATATCCCACATTTGCCATTTCATAGGTCACAGAATCATAGAATGTCTTGGGTTGGAAGGGACCTTTAAAGGTCATCCAGTCCAACCTCCCTGCAGTGAGCAGGGACATCCTCAACTAGATCAGGTTGCTCAGAGCCCCATCCAGCCTGACCTTGAATGTTTCCAGGGATAGGGCTTCTACTACCTCTCGGGGCAACCTGTTCCTGTGTTTCACCACCCTCACTGTAAAAAATTTCTTCCTTGTATCCAGTCTAAATCTAACTTCTTTTAGTTTAAATCCATTACCCCTTGTCCAATCACACTTGTCAAATGGAAAGAAGAGTCATCAGTGCTACATTATGATGGTCTGAGTTTTAGGGGTAGGGGCTTTTTTTTTTTGGTCTTCTTTTTAATATCCTTTATGGGAAGGGACTATTGACTGTAAAATATTATTACTTAGCAATCAATACAAATTATGTTCATACACTCTAGCACTGACATTTCACTTGCAAATAATGCAGCTTTTCCTGTTGTTAACAATAGTAATTTTCTGCTTTATTCTTTGTCTTCTCCAGATCCCTTCTGTCGGCAAATGTCAAACAGGAAAACTGCAAATCAACCAAAAGGAGATACTTTTAAATAATTTTCTTTTTAGCACAGTCTCATGATTCTCCTTGTTTACTGATACTAGGAAACCTAATATATTTTGCATTTCTTGGAAGCTCAAACTTATTTTTCTTTATACCACATTTGGTTATGCAGTGGACCTATTGCACACAAATTTCCCCTGAAAAGCTACAGTGTGGTCGCTATGCAATATTCTAAAAGTAATCAGCTGCTTAGGTTATAACCATTGTACCACTACATATCCTGAATGCTTATCATTTTGGGACCAAATAAAATATTTAACATATTCTATATAAAGGCAGATAGGAGGATTATTTGGGTTGATTTGACTGAGTTTTCCTATTTTATTTTAGTTATTAATAGTTTCTATTCATTCCATCATCCATGAGCACAGTCCTCGTATTTGTCCTTCTCATCACACTTCTCTATTTCCCACAGTTCTGAGGTGCTTGGGGATACCTGCAAGACTCATTACCAACTATTCTTCAGCCCATGATAACAATGCCAATTTACAGTTGGACTTCTTTCTGGATGATGAAGGGAAAGTGGATACCAAAATTACAAAAGACTCTGTCTGGTGAGTTTTCCTTACAAATGCCTTTATTGTGTCAACTATGGAAGTAGTAAAAAACATGACGGCAATGTCTGTGGTTTATTTGTTTCTTTGTGCATTAAAGAACACTGCTAGCTTATGTAAAACAGAATGAATGGATTTTTAGGAGGCTGACTAATATAAAGTGCTTGTCATATAAAGAGACAAACCATAGGGGATCTGTGAGATCACTACTGGTGTTACTATTTGGCATAGTGCACATTTAAGCACAGTGGACAAAAGCTGGGATGGGTCTGTGCTCCTTAGGGCCAGGCCATTTCTCAAAATGGGAGAGAGTAGGGCAGGCACTTCCATCAGTCTGCAACCAGGCTCAAATGGATACCTCAATATCCACGGAAAACCACTCTTCTTGATTTGCTTCTGCCTAGTTCCTATATTTGTAGGCTGGATTTTTACATTGTGTACATGCAGTCACTGTCACAAGTAGGTACTTTCCAAAATAAATCCAGTTCAGCTGAAAAAGAAACAACCCAAGGTATCATACAAGTTACTGAAATGCTGTCACCAGATTTATAAAAAGAAAACCCCCTAGGAGCAAGAAATGTAGTCTATGTATTCTTTTGGAGAAGACAGTCCTCTAACTTCCTCCTCAAACTCTTACTGTCTCCTGTCTGACAGGAGAAGTGTAGCATATATTGATTATATGCTCTGTTCAGTAGAAATTATGTGTGGATTATTGGGTGTCAAGCCTCTCCTTCTCAGAGTGAAGCAGTGAATGTGACCTCTTAAACATATTCCTATACTTGTCCTATTCAGTGTTAATATACCTGATTTGTGTCAATGTTATGTTCAACTCATCAACATAGCTGCTTATCAGCATGTTTCATTAGCAACTTAGTCTCTGGAAGTTTTTATATTAAAACTGTAATAAACCCCTTCTGTGGTGGAGGAAATGACCTGTTGCTGTAACCTCTTTTATGTGATTTCCATAATCTGTTACCAAGAGTGAATCTAAGAAAAACAGTTAGATTCATTTACATCTGTTACACAGCATCACAGAATAGTGGAGACTAGAAGGGACTCCTGGAAGTTATCCGACTCTCCTGCTCAAAGCAAGGTCAGCTAGAGCAGGTTTCTCAGTTGAGTTTTTAATATCTCAAAGGATGGACACTCCACGGGCCCTCTGGTCAACCTGTGCCAGTGCTCAATCACTCTCACAATAAAAAAGTGTTTCTTGATCTTTACACAGAATTTCCCGTGTTTCAGTTTGTGACCACTGAGGAGAGCCTGGCTCTGCCTTCTTCACCTCAACTTCCTAATACACACGGATAAGATTCTACTAAGCCTTCTCATCTCCAGGCTGAACAGTCCCAGCTTTCTCAGCCTCTCCTTGTTTACAACCTCTGGTGTATCAGCCATTCCTTCCAGTTTTCTGTATCTGCAGACTTGCTGAGGGTGTGGTAGGTCTCACCATCCACGTCATTAATGAAGATGTTGAACAGTATTCGATGCATTATCAACCCCTTGGGTACACAACTAGTGACTAGGCTCCAGCCGGAGTTCATGCCGCTGATCACAGCACTCTGATCCCAGCAGTTCAGCGAGTTTTCAACACACCTTGCTGTCCATTTATCCAGTCTATACTTCAGTGGCTTGTCTATGAGGATGTTCTGGGAGATGATGCTAGAGTTAAAAAAAACAACCAACCAACCAACTCCCAAGCACTGGTCTCCCCCTGCCTACTTAGTCATTGATTTCATCAGAGAAGGATACCAGGTTGATCAGGCATAGCTAGGCCGATGTAAATCCATGCTGACTACTGCTAATCACCATTTGGAAATGTTTTCCAAAAGAATTTTCTCTATAATATTCCCAGAGATTAAGGTGAGGCTGACAAGTCTGTAGTCCCTTGGGTACTTCTTCTCTTTCTTGAAGAAAGGAGTGATACTTTCTTCCAGTTCTCAGGAATGTTCTCCAGTCACCATGACCTTTAAAGATAAATGAGTGGCCTTACAGTGACATAGGCCAGGTTCCTTAGCACTTGTGGGTCCATCCCATCAAATCCATTGGACTTCTGCATGTCCATTTTGTCTAAATATTCTCTAACTTGTTCCTCCTTTACTGATGGTAAATTTTCATTACTCCAAACTTCCATGCTGGTCTCAGGAGTCTGTCATTCCTGAGGGCAAATCTTAGCAGTGAAAAGCAAGGCAAAGATGGCATTGAGTATTTTAGCCTTTTCTTAGTCCTTTGTCACCAGGTCTCCTGCCCCATTTGGCAGAAGTCCTACATTTTTCCATAATCTGCCTTTTGATACTGATGTACTTGCTTTTCTTATTGCCTTTCATGCCCCTTGACATACTCCATTCAGTCTGAGTTTTGACTTTCCTACACCTGTGCTTGCATGCTCAGACAGCGTCTCTGCATTCTTTCTGGTTACCTGTTCCTGCTTCCACCTCTTGTGCACTTTTTAAATGTTTGAGTTTAGTTGGGACCACCTTGTTGACCATGCAGTGCCACTTTTGATTGATTTCCTGCACATAAGGATGGACCATTCTTAAGCTTGGAAGAGGTCATCCTTGAAAAACAACCTGGTTTCTTGGATTCGTCATCTCTCCAGAGCTGCCTCCCATGGGATTCTTCCAAGCAGGACCTTAAACAAGCCAAAGCCTACTTTCCTGAACTCCAGGGCTGCAGTGGTGGTATCTGCCTTGTACCCTCCTGTTACGATCCTTGGGGATTCCCAGTTCTCTAAGCTGCATCTGCTCTGTGTGACAGCAGGACCTCAGTGTGTCACATGGGGCTAGTCCTTCTATTGCTTACAGACCAGTAAAGGAACAATCACTCTTCTGAAACCTCGTCTACCTATAAATGATGTGAAACAAACCCCAATGACTGGTCACCTCACTGTTCAGTCTATATACACCCAGTAATGGACTATTGCCATGCTTCAGACTTTTCACTGTCTCATGTCATCTTCTCCCCTTCTCCTAATCTGATCTGTGAAACGACTCTCACCCACTTTTGACATTTCTTTTTACTTTCCTACCTATCCTTTTCCCAGCTGTTTCCCAAGACTTCTTAATTCAATACTGTTTTTTTTCCATTCTTCTGGGACAGGGCCAGATCATCCAAAATAATCCTTGCTACACTGAAATCCGTATGCAACTTCTTGCTAACATTTCATCCTCCCATTCTATGTTTGCTTTCTTTGGCTTGATTACTTTTTTAACTGCCTTGTTCACCCTTTTATCCTCCTGGTGCATTTATTAGTACATGGTGCACATAACCCTTTGGGCATGACTTAATATATTATACACCTTTTTTCATTTCTCCTCTGTGTCCTTTCTCTTCATTACTCTGTAACATACCATGGTAGCTCACATTCTGACTTTAAATGGCTTGTGTCTTAACCTTGATTTTATTTTTAATGTCTCTTTTACTTCTTTCCTTTTTTTTAAAAAGGACAAGCTCAAGGTATTTATAATGATTTTTTAAATGTATTTCTCACTTTTATTTATAATCTCCTGAAAACTGGAAGCAAAGCTCTTTTTCTTTATTAATATATCATTTCTATTGCCTTGTACTGCTGTAGCTGGTCTGTCTTCAGGTTTTAAATACTCTCAGACTTCAGGGATACTTGGAGCCAGGATTTTTAGTCCAATCAATCTCTGAGTGTGGGGCTCCCTCTGAATGTTATCTGATATTTATTTATTTTTATTAAAGATCATCTTCTCCCTCAGGGTAGGAAACAACGACAACAGAATACATACAAAATTACACAGACTTTGCAAAAAGTTATTTTTATAAAGCTGGCCGGATTTGGGCTCATCAGTACTGCCTCTGTCCCCTTACTTTGTTCTCCTTGTCTTTCTTAATGATGATATAAAGACATTTAAAGAATGTTTCTTTTGGATGGGAATCAAGACTCACTCCTACTGTGAGGTCCAAGACTGATATCAGTACCTCAGCAGAAACTTGCTTGAAGTTACCTGGCCCCACGGGGGTTCATCTGTGTCCAGGCCCATGGAGAAATCTCTTCTGAGACCTCTGCTCTCCCATTCACTTCCAGCTCACTTTTCTCTAATTTCTCACTAATTTTATCAGTGCCTCTCTCAAACACAGTGCCTGAGCTTATTACCTAATGAAAGGGCGGCAACTCTTTCCAGCATGTGCCTGTCTCATAAGCAATACGAGGTACCTTTCTTAAATTGTTTTCCAAGCATAAAACCCACCTGGTCATCTTTTATTAATTTCCCCATCGCTTTGTTTAGTCTGTTCGTAATTATCCCTGTAAATATTTTATGGTCACTACATTGATCTGTATAGACATTCTTGCTTTCTTGAATGTCTCAAGCTTGCTGTAGAATGCAAGAACTACAGAATCAGTTCAACATATTGTGACTGTGGAGTCAGCTTCTCGGCTGTGCTCACTTCTACCACAGAGAAGTTTCTGCTACATTTTGGAGAGGCAAATATTCCCCTCATCCTCCTTTCCTTAATACTCATGTGCTCTACAAGCCATGTCTTTCTGTCCAGTCACGTTCAATATCCTTAAGTGTATTTGTTATTTGCATGGCAGCAGACCTAAACAAATTGCTTTGCTGTTGCGCCCAACACTACACCAATAGAAGAAACTGCTAAGAAAGGTCCTGTCCCATAGGATGAATATAGAAAAAAATATAGAAAAAGTCTGCATTATCTAGTTACAGAATTGAAGCAGAGCTTCCATTTTCCGTACTGTTATTCACGTCTCTCCTTCCTCTGGTTTTATCATCCTTCCCTCCTGCCTGCTCTCCAGGTTCTTCTTTCTCAGAACACAAAGCCAATGATACATCTGAGTTTGATTCAAGGTGAATCAGTGAAGGCTTCGGGGCAGGGATTGTCTCTCTCAAATGTTGTCATAGCAGTTTTCAAAAACCTATCTACCACAAAGCGTGTCCCCATTCTCTGGTAGCCCTCAGCAAAGCTCCATGAGCATGATTCAGCATTGACTACTCTCAGCAGCATCAAAAATTCTCTGAGTATGCGTCATTTTCCTTGAATAATTCCTTTTTCTATTGCTGCTTCATTAACTCTCCTAACTGACAAGTTTTACCCTGATCCAAGCTTTCATTTCCACTTTGAAATGTCTTGTTAGACAAGGCTCAGATCCTTCCAACTGCTCCATGACTGATTTTCACCTATTATTAATTAAATGGTCAGAGTTTAACAATCCCCATTTTGGGTGCTAATATCATTGCATGTAATAGTGGCTGTATCAGAAGCTATACAGACGTAATTTTATTCATATCTGCTGTAGGATATGTATCATTTGCAAGCAAAATTGCCCCTTTCTCTACTCCTTCCTGCTTTTATTTTTTGCAGTAATCAAATTCAAACACTTCACTGTCTTTACTGCAAGACCCTCTTCCTAGATTGTCTTCTTTTTCTTGCTTGTGCTCTCCCTTGAATGTCGGTAGCATTGCAGGAAGTTACAAGATCTGCCTTTGTTTTCTGCTCATCTTTGAAACATTCTGGGCAGAATATGATGGTGCTGTAGTGTTTTTTTCTTTCCTAAGCATGCAGCCAAGTGAGGGCATTTCAACCCTGAGCACCTAGATGAACCACTCTCAGAAATCCACCTTTTGTACTGTCCTGGCCCCCAGTGGTTGTAGGTGGGCATTATGGAAAACTGTATGTTCTAGGAGATCTGACCTCCCTTATTGTCATGATAGACTGGGAAGACCTTATAAGGAATCCACAATGAGGAAAGTCTTATAAAGCCTATGGAGGGTCTTTTTGTCAACCAACATGGAAACTAGCTAAGCATGTTTGTTTTGAGCCAGGAAAACAAAGCCACACATAAGCTATGAAGTTGATCCTGAAACTTCTTCAGAAGAGGCATCAAAGCTTCAGTCTTAATAGCTTTAAAGCAGACCGTGCTTCAACGGCTTGAAGAAGGTTCAAAGCTTGCTTTAGCAGACAGACTGAAGTGGAGATAGGGATTGTAGTTTGTGTAGCACTTCATATAATCCAACAATCTCCAAGCATTGGGAAATTTTCTCAGAGACATTTGCATTCAGAACACAGTAAAAGATTCAAAAAGCTTCTTCAACTTGCAGTCAAGAAACTACAATTAAATACTGTGGCCTTCAGGTTTTAACAGGTAGTTACCAAACATTTAGATCTAAAAATCTATTATCTAAAAAGAGCCAACTTTTTCACTCCTAAACTGGCAAATGTTGTTACTGAAGCAATGACAGGACATAAATTTGTTTTGGTCTGTATGCTTCTTTCTAAGAATTTAATATTCTGGTCTCACCTCTCATGTAAGGAACTATCATTGCTGGAATGAAGCTTGGATGACTAGACCTGATCTTCCTGTTGGTTTTGGAGGATGGCAGGTTGTTGATGGGACACCCCAAGAAACGAGTGATGGTAATATTGCTGAAGTCCTTTTTAGCTCTCTTTCAAGTGCTTGTGTTCTTTGTGGCAAACAATGAACTAAGCCAGTGCCACCATATGGCTGGTGACAACTTCTTGCACCAGATAACCACACTTACCTATGCTCAGGGCCTTCTCCTGATTTGTTTTAAGCTCTAAAGTAAATCTTTCTTTATTATAACACTGTCCATGACACATGTGCACAATATCCTGCATGAGAAGGGTCCTGCCTGGCACAGAAAAAATGTAGTCTCATTGCAAGAAGATGGCTTCTAAAATTTTGGAGGACCTATACAGGAGTCTGATCAACTTAATTCACCTTCATTATATGTCAGTCAGTTCCTGCAGTCCTTACTAAACTTACTGAGCAGGCAGTACATAGGAGAGAAAAAGTGAAAAGCCACTGCTATTTCCTCAGTCCTTAATTTTCCAGTTCTTAAAAGACACTCTTAGCAAATTTGCAGTGAGGTCTTTCTCAGCCTGTGGTATAACTGAGCCATCCCATAATTATCTGCTTTAAGCAAAAATGGCTTTAACTGCATTTCAAGCACTTGAGACTTACAGTGGACTTTACAGTGCCATTAAGGTACTGAATCATTAGATTGTTTCAGACTTGAGTATGTGTTCTTTAGAAGGCTGGCAACAGAAATTAAGCTTTTCACTTGTTGGTCAGGAGTTCCTGTAAACTATTAAAGTGTTCACTAAACCCCAAGAACTCATTTTCTTTGAGAAAATGTAACATTTTCACGTGTTTAAATTAATTTAGTCTCTCACTTTATCTGTCTTCTTCCCACAGGTATGTACAGGTGTGGCCCAGCCTCAGTTCAAGCCATTAAACATGGTCATGTTTGCTTCCAATTTGATGCTCCTTTTGTCTATGCTGAGGTACATACTTGAAAATTTTTGATGCATTGAGTGTTATCAGTGAGACCATAGATGAAACAGAAGATAGGGCTCCACTGCAATTTATGGACTGAGAAGTTATTTCACTCATACTCCATGTCAAAGAAAAATCTCATCATTGTATTTTGACATGCAGGCTAGTAGATGTGGTATGGCTCTAATGAATGACGGAGATTTCTCTAATCTCATCTTACCAATGTAATAAGCAGGAAAAGCTTCTCTGGCTCAGATGAAACTTCAGGCTGTGGCCATTTATCCATCCCAGATTCCAGCTACGCTGGCAAATGAGTCACTAACTCTAGCTGCTCACCTTCACACCTTGTTAGCTGTTACCTCTTTCTCAGGCTTGTCAGCAAAGCTGCTTATCTTAAGGTTCCCTTGCTTATTTCAGTCAAAATGGATGTAGTAATTTTAAAGAGGTCTTTGCTCACCGTGTTCATTTTGGCTGCAGTGGATCAAGGAGAGCTCACATGAGTGACTGGCAGATCTAAGATCTAAGAGGGAGATAACTCCATAAGGACTAAGAGGGCTTGGTTTGGAGTTTCAACCTCTTGCACCACCAGAGCTGGTGTGCCCAGAATTGCAGCAGCTGTAGAGCAAACCTCTCCCTAATTGAATTGTATATCACTTAGGACAGAAGAGAATAAAGATATTTTATCTATCAAGCATTCCCCTCTTTATGGTCTAAAGCTTTATGGTGTAAGGAAATTGTCATCATGCTCCCCAAATCCAAACAGTATCTCTCTGGCCTACTTAAGTTTACAATGCCTGTTGTTCTGAAGCTGCAAATAGTGAAATTAATGTAGTCGTCGTTGTAGCAGATGACTAATTTTATAAATGGGACTTCAATGCAAGTGGGACTTCAGTTCAATGTGTGATCGTTTTGAGGGGAGATAGACTGTCTTCCTTTCCTCTTTCTACATCCATGTAGCTCAGTCCTTTTTCATTTGATTTTATAGGTAAATAGTGATATTGTTTACTCAAGAATGGAGAAAAATGGATCCCAAGTGATATTAAAAATTGACACATCCCATATTGGACAGTTGATTGTGACCAAGGAAGTTGGGGGTGATGGAATGGTGGAGATTACTGAGGACTACAAGTTCCAAGAAGGTAACCCTAAATGAGATGGGACTATACTGATGTAGATTTACCTTAGTCCAATCTTGGATGCTGGATTTACAGAGCTCTGGCACCGAGGGAGTTGCAAGAAAAGTTGCCAAGGTGCCCTCTGGAACTCTTTATTTGTAACATCATCCCAGAAACACTGCAGATACCTTGAGAACAGCACAGACTTTGCTACTCTGAAATGCTTTTGACTGAATAAGCTGTAGTTAAAACAAAGGGTAGTCATGCAGTAACAAAAAGCTTTCAAAACCATTCAAGGCTTTCTGTGCAGCTGTTAGACATCTTTTACTCAGGCCAGATGTTTGCACAGAGTAAGGCAGTGTAGCTCCATTAATATCAATTAGGCTAGGTCAATGTATCTGATATGGCTTGAATCTTTAAGACCATCTCACTTGGTGGTTGTGAAGTTCTCTGAATATTAACTTCACCACAGGAAGGTTCAATGTCCTCATCCATTCATTTCAGCTACCACAAACTATGGAAGATGCACCCTTGTGATCAGTGAGTGGGCTAATGCAGTACCCCTGTTTCTCTTCTAAATTTGATTTTCATTCATTTCTAGGATCAGAGGAGGAGAGGCTGGCTCTTGAGACGGCAGTGATGTACGGTGTTAAAAAGCAAACTACCCAGGATACCACATATCAGCCACAGACAGATGTTGACATGGAGTTTCAAGTGCAAAAAGCAATCCTTGGCAGTGACTTTAAAGTCACTATAACTTTCAGAAACAAAAGTCGCAACCACTACACTGCTACTACACACCTTTCAGGAAACATAGTGTTTTATACAGGAGTTGCAAAAAATGAATTCAAGAAGCACTCTTTCGATGGAAAACTGGAACCCTCTTCATGTAAGACTTGCATAGTTGTTTTCAAACCTGCTAGCTTAATTTCTCTCTGTCATTACCTGTTACTAATGTCTACCCATGGGTAGAGCCAATTCTAATGGCTACGGGTAGGATACTCAATCGGGTATGAGGAGGCTCCATTCCCAACTGTGGCTTTCCACCAGTGTTGTTTAGAGCTAAGGCTGTTTTCTTCAGGCTGTTGCTCTTCGCATACTGTTTTCTTACACCAAGTTGCATGTCTGGGAAGTGTTAATTTTTCCTATTAAGTAAAAAGGAAAGAAAAAGAGTGCAGATATTAAGATGCAAGTTATCATTTGTCATACCTTTAGTCTCCTAGCAGTATCTCAGCAAGTGAAGGAAAAGCTCGGATTCCCAAGGGTATCATTTACAGGGATGAAAAGGAGAATATCTTGTCTTACCTGGAGGAAGCTGTCAAGCTCTGTGTGGGTCCAAGGGCACAACTGGCTTTCGAGTATTAGGTGGTTCAGGATTTTATATTTACAGCAACCTGAAAAGCTGATCTGTAACTGGAATGTGCCACTATAGAGCAGGTGCGTTTGTTAGCTGGGCAGGCAGCCCCAATGCTGAGTTATCTTTACAGATGCGGTGTTTGCTTTTCCTAGTGCCCTCTGGACTCTGGTGAGGAGATCCTGCCTCCCTCTTCTCATGAGAAAATCAGTTCCTGGCAGCCTACCTCAGGCATCTGAGGGCAGGATTTTGCACAGCTGAAAGCAGGGAAGAGGGATGTTCTCCTTTTTATTATTATTTTGGACATAACCAATCTATTCCACGACAGCTGTACTTGAAAAAGAGTGAGTCAGCATTGAGGACCTGCTGTACTCCAAACCATTATGGAGCCGGCTGGTTGTAGATCCCTGGCTTCTCCAGCAAGAAGTGACTGCCAACCACTTGTTCTTCTGACAGGCCAGCGCTCTTGGGTCAGTGCCTCCAGCTCAGCAAATGTGATGAGAATGCGCTCTTATGGAGTCAGAGTATCTTCTACTTGAGTTTGTTACTAAGGAAGTCAGGAGCAATGATTTTGCCTTCCTGATGCAGCTACTGGGCAAAAGTAATCTCTGCTGAGTGCTGCAGGAGTGGCAGGACTTTGGGAGGCCGAAGGATGGGCCTCCTGATCTGGGTCTGGTTGTGGATCACAGCAACCCTGGCTGACCCCTGAGCTTTTTCATCTGTCTTGCCTATCTCATCCCAGCTCAGGAGACACTATGAGCCCTCACCCCTCAAAGAGAACAGGTTTTGCCTCAGTGAGTAGCTTCTGTGGATTCACAGTTCTCGCCATGCTGTGAAAAAAAAAATCCTGCACTTAGAGCATCATCTAAAACTGCACGTTTTGATTTGGACTTGATTAATCTCCATAAAGTAGAAGTCTGCTTACAGGGATCTACAGGTGAAGGTTAATAAAAATTCTGTCTCTGGTCTATAACAAAGCCCTGACAGCTGCTTGCTGTTTTTTTCTAACTCTCTGACTCATTTGCAAGGGGTCTGGAAATGGGCTGACTCAGTTGCACTGGGTTTTTCCAACACAGCCTATCAAAACACGGTGTGGGGTTTTATATTGGCTTGCATCAGATACTAAATATTTTATCTGGAATACTGCAAAACTTTTTGGAGACTTGGCTAGGTACAGTAAAAAAATCCATTTCCACAGCTCAGTTTAAATTCTGTGCCACTTCTTTGATAAGGGAAAACTCAGTCTTTCATCTGCTCTTGCATCAAAGGTCTGTGTAAGGTTTTATTACCTAAAACATGCCTTCTGCATGCTTTGAGGGTCATCTATTTCCTCTGTACAGGAAATGAAATTAATAGATTATGTTTAAGCATTACTGAGCCTCATAATTAATTTTTTCTAAGAAAGTAGATGGTTTGTAAAAAGCTTCTTGAAACTGTGCTGGAAACGCTGAATTGACCGATGGTGGGTGAACACAGACTAAAGAAAGGCACCAGAGAGAAAAGAACAATTATTTTGGATGTGTACCAAAAGCGTGTCCTCCTCACTGCCTCTGGCCAAAGAGACATGTTCTGAAGTGCTACCACATTTCAAGGTGGAAATTAGCTTATAGCTGAGCTACAGTCATTGACTTGTGGAGCACTTTGTCTCACAACAGGACAAAAAACCCTCACCGGTTATGCCATCTCTGAAGGTGATACATAAAACTTGAACATTAATTCTTTCAGCTTTTCCTTGGAAAGGAGTATGTGTGCAATTAGGAACACTGTCTGAGCAGATAAGCAGTGTGAAGGGAGGCAGAGTGATCATTTGCAACCCTGTGAGAATACTCTGTCAAGGGTGCGAAGGTAGGATACCTTCCAAGGCACTCAGGCAGGATTTGTAGGCTTCATTCATGGCAAAAAAGTGTGTATATATATCTGGAGGTAATAAAAAATTACAATATAATATGTATGTGTCAAAAGCATTCTTCCAGCTTGTGCTACTGAAAGAATGAAGTGACCTAAGTTTTCAAACAGGAAGTGAATGCATGATATTCAGAATAATGATTAAAGGAATTGTGTGGGTTGAAAACATCTTTGAGGATTTGAATAGCTTAAACCTTCCAGTGCCTTCAAAGGTGCTCTTGCATCTACTCAGTTATATTTAGTTTTCTTTTTTTTCTTTTGAAAGGCTGTAAGGCAGCTCAGTGTTGTGTCTCCCTTGGCTTTCCCAGGTGCAGTAAGTGGTACTGGCAACTTACCAGCACAGCCAGTGCTAAGGAAATGGAAGTCTATTATTCTGCTTTTTTTTTTTTTTCCCCTGTGGTGATTAAATTTAAACAGAAAAGTTAGTCTTTCCTTCCACTGTAAAGTAAATTTGTCTTTGATTGTAACTAGTTTATTTATTTACTTTACACAGATGAGAAATACCTTGCATGATTTATAATTTACAGTTTGAGGCATTATGGGAAATTCTTTTACAAGAGATACAGAGTGAGAGGGAGGGAGAGAGGGAGGGAGGGGGAGAACATCAAGTAAATTTAAGGCTGGCCTGGTAAATCCAGGTCAGGTGGTCACCAGGGGAATAGCTTTGAAACCAAATCAAGGAACTGGTTTTGATGTGAGCGGATCAAAAGAGTGAAAAGGAGTGAATGTGATTTACCCAACTGAGTCAGTTATCTCAGTGTGTAAAGCGTATGTCACAAATGCGATACAAATAATGGATAACAGTAATAATCATAGCTAACAGATGGGAGATCTTGATATGTTTACTAGGGTTATAATGAATGTTTATAGAGGCAGGATCTCCAGATCTATATATTCTGCCCAGTCACTTAGTTAACAGGTCTGCTTCTCTGCATCACATTCTCACACCATTATTGGCCTGGAATTTGCAGTTCAATATGGTTAAAATTAATGATTCCCTGCATCTCAACCATCTAGCTTAGGGGGACATGTTCCTTCCAATAATTATCGTCAAGAAGCACGTTAAAGCTCTCTAGCGGGCTTGCTAATGACAGGAGGACCTTCTTGTTAAATTTTGCAGGCACGTCTAGTGTAGGACAAAGGCAGATATCCAGACGTGTCCTGGAGAGCATGTGATCTCCCAAGTAGCCTACATGGGCTACACCCTCCAGTGGCTGCTCTGGTGGCATCTCTGGTGGCATCCCTCTGCCAGGAAGAGGGGCAGAGAAAGCACAGGAGTAAAGCAAAAGAGCAAACATTTACAGAGGTGACTCTCAAAAGCTGTTTTGGACCTTTGTGCCCAGTAGCTATTTTTTACCCGTCTTGCTTCTCGCTTATTTTGTGGTAGTGCCTAGAAACCTTCAACAGTGGCCTGGGCCGATGGTGATGGGCACTGGACAGAGGCTGTGCATTAACCAAGCCCTTGCCTCAAGAAGCTCACAGCCTAAATGTAAAGAGGACAAGATAAGAATGGGAATGATGAGGTAAAGAAATGAAGATAGTTGGGGCAAAACAAAGTAATTCTTTGGTGGTGGGCCACCCTTTTACCAAGGCACTTGTGTAACTGGCACTGGCCGTGATGGGAGGAGCAATTAGCCATTAAATTGCTTCAGATGCCTTTTTTTTCCCCCTGTTTCTCCCCTCAGCAAGCGCTTTTGATGTTCTGATCAAATCAAGTGAGTACCTGAATGACCTGCTGGACCAAGCCTCCTTTCATTTCTTTGTGACGGCACGGATCAATGAAACGGGGAAGATTCTGGCCACACAGAAGGCAACAGTCCTGGAAATTCCCACCCTGATGATCAAGGTAGCTCAGGGCTGGGGTGGAGGGGAGCAGCCACTATGCTACACACAGGCTGCTCCCTACAAGGGGGGGTGGGGGGGGCCCAGCCACTATGCTACACACAGGCTGCTCCCTACAAGGCTATCACATTGACTTGGGGTACAGGAGGATGTATGTGTGAGTTAGACCTGCAATCTAACATGGACCTTATAAAGCAGCAGCTGGCTGGAGTGTATGAGGGTGTATAGGTGTGTTATTTATTGTACTGAGTATCTCTACATTGAAGTCTGAGGCTGACAGCATCACTGGTAGTAGAGAGCTGAAGTGATCTCAGTGGAGGAAGGAGGGGAAAAGACCTAAGAAAGCTGGATAAACTCAAAGGGTAAGAGAGATTACTCAAAGTCACTCAAGTCTTTAGCTACTTCAAGGCCAGGTTGGGTGGGGCTTTAAACAACCTGGTCTAGTGGAAGGTGTCCCTGCCCACAGCAGGGGGGGTTGAAACTAGATCTTTAAGGTCCCTTCCAACCCAAACCATCCTGTGATTCTATGATTCTGCTTCAGAAGTTTATTACATTTAAAGCTACACAGCAGAGAGGCCTCTTGCTGAACAATGAAGGACACTGCTATTGAGGTGAATTTATTGAGGGGTAATGGACACAGACTGGAACACAGGAGGTTCCACTTAAATTTGAGAAGAAACTTCTTCTCAGTGAGGGTGACAGAGCACTGGAACAGGCTGCCCAGAGAGGTTGTGGAGTCTCCTTCTCTGGAGACATTCAAAACCCGCCTGGACGCCTTCCTGTGTAATGTCATCTAGGTGTTCCTGCTCCGGCAGGGGGATTGGACTAGATGATCTTTTGAGGTCCCTTCCAATCCCTAATGTTCTGTGATTCTGTGTGATTCTGTGATTCTGTGAATTTACTTGGAAAGCTCCTGCAGGTGTTGTGGAAAGTTCCTCCAAACTTGGACGGATAGCATGCATTTGGGATGATGTTTTCAGGATTTCAGTGGTTTGTTGCCACTCTGTGAATGCACTGTCAGTGGAGTTTCCTGAAAGTTCAAGCATTTCCATAGATGGTGGCATGATACCTATGAAAATGTAGAAGTGTAATGTTTGTGATAGGACAAGGGCTCTATGTTGTATAGAAAAGACAGGGCTGAGAATTGGAGTTCTCACTTCATAACTGGACATCCAAATAAATTGCTTCACTTGTAAAAATGCTGAGCCTTCATCTGCTTTGAATGATGTCATTTGGATCTGCTTTTTTCCTAATACTACAAAAGAAAATCAGAACACCTGTTCAGGAAGCTTTACATAAACATGAATGCAGCTCACTAAAATTCAGGACCTTGAAAGAAATTAAGTTTATAGAGCTTTTCGTCCCTGTATATTTATTTGACCCAATGTTCCTGTTTCCATATAATACAATATGTAGCCATCTGAAACAGCAGCCTTCTGCAGAAAAAGCTTTTAAAAATGTAGATCAAAAACTACAGTGAAGTTTGCAAAATATTTCATGATCTACAGAAATGTCACTATGATCTGATCAAATTATTGGTATTTTCAAATAAATGTTTTTTGGTTTACTGAGCATTCTAGAGAAGAGACAAACAAGAAATATAGAATCTACTTCAAATATCAGTCTTCAGTAACCAAATTTTGAAAGTAGAGTGTTCTTTCAATTCAATACTTAAACAGAACATCTTATACAGGATCCCAAATTTCAACATCAAAATAGTTTATCCTCCCTGCTGTTATGAAGAAAGGATCTTTACTATATGAGGTAGGTTGTTGTCCAATAAGCATGTCTTCTAGCAAAACTGAGTTTGTCTTTTCTCTGCTTCTTTGTGATGTGTAAAAATAGGCTGAAATTTTAATAGCTGGATTTTTTTAAAGAGTATATGAGCGTGTAGGCACACGTGTGTGTATACCTGTGTATCTATAAGGGAAACTTTACTGGTTTTTGTTAAGAATTCTGAAGAGGCTTATCTGTCTAGATTTTTTTGTCAGATTTCTTCATTGGATTTAACTGGCAGACTGGAGTTCTTAATGTGAGAGTAAGGGAGAAAAATGAAAAAGTGTATTTCCCTTCCTGTCTTCAGGTGCACCAGATCTTTCTCTGTTGGTCTAAGGAGATTGTCAGAG